AGCTCATCAGGTACAAAATATAAACCCCAAAATGCCAGGTTGCTATTTTCCCCAAGGGGAAGATGGGTCCGATTGGGGTCATCACTCAGGCAGCCCCGGGGCCAGAACCTCTGGCCACAGGGTGTGTTGGAGCCTGGAGAGCAGGTGGAGGTCGCCCCGGCGAGGTGATTCAGCAAGTATCGTGGTAGTGGCCGCGTCAGCACCCGTGTGTGCGTTGGATCATTCAGTCCATCAGCCAATTTGTCAACCACAGCTGGCGAGTACGGGCCGTGCGCCAGGATCCCTTCCTAGGACAAGCCACGTCTCCAAGGCTTGCTTGCACTGTCTCTTGTCCACGGAGCACCTTCCTTCCCATTTTTCTCTCTCTGGAAAGCTCCTACACACTCTTCAAAACCCATCCTAAATGCCACCCACCTGGTACCTTTCGCAGGTTCCTCCAGGTGGGCTTCTGCACTGTAGGAGCTGTTTCTCCTCAGCTCCTTGGCATGGACGGCTCTCCAGGAGCAGACCCCTGCCTCTCCCCTGCTCTGGGCTTTTTCTCCACCGGTGCTGGGGCTGGGAGGAGGGGGAGCCGAGCCACTGGAGGCAGGAGCCGTGCGCGCAGCACTGTGTAGACGTGGTTCACAGGGCCATCGTGCCTCCTGGGTGGCTTGGTCATCCCTGGAGGTGCATGCTTTCTGGTCGTGCTCACACGCATAGAGTATTTGATCCATAATGTTTTCCTTTACTCAAGCTCTGGTGAAAACACGGTCCCATCTTATTCAGATTAAGGTGGGGCAAACCAAGGCCAGAGAGGTACAGCATCCTTCCCAAGGTCACAGAGCAATTTGATGGATGGCTGATTTAGAATCCAGACCTCATAACTCTGCTGGCTGTTCCTCCATCTGCTTCTCCCATTCTAGTGAGGGATATGGGGAAATGTGGGGACAGTGATGGCGTCAGCAATGTTGGGCTTTCCCAAGGGACCTGGGGTGTATACCTGAGCCCTCGTTGTGTGACCCAGGGACAGAGTGTGGCACTTGCTGCCTGCTTCCTGGGCTGGCCTTGTTAGCCTGAGGAGGGAAACCACAGGTGACAGAAGAGCTACAAGAAACAGAGCCTGGGGCCAAGTGGCTAACTCAAGGCTCTCTCGGTCTCCCATGCAGGGCACCACCGTGCGTGTGATCACCGCCATTGACCAGGATAAAGGACGTCCCAGGGGGATTGGCTACACCATTGTTTCAGGTAAGGAGAGAGCTGTCCCTGTCCCTCTCCCCACCCCGGGAGACCTGCCTCCAGGGACAGTCCTCACTAAAGGGGCCTGGAAAGGCCGTGAATGAATGAAGAGGGGGCAGAGGAGGAGAAGAGGCTCTTGGGAAGCCCGCAGAGGCCAAGGCATGGGGGGGACTGCGCAGGGGACAGTGTGCTGCTGTCCACAGCCTGAAGCCTGGTGCCTCTGGGGCTTGGAGCCCAGTCGCAGGTGGCTGCGCCGACCTCCACCAGTGCTGGGGTGTGTCTGTCCTTACTTGCTGAAAAGGGGACAATTTGTACATCATGTTAGAACAAATAGAGCCCGGACCTCCGCTGATGGCACGCGCTCTTGCACGGCTAGGGTTGGGGACTCGAGTCTCCGCTCAGCTCCGTTGGTTGAGCCGACAGTGGCTGACTGCAGAGGGGCTTTGGGATGACGGATCCCTGGCTCACCCCCTGACCAAAGGCTGGCAAGATGGCGCCTCTGCGTGGCTGTCCTGGGACTGGCTGGGTTTGGGAGCCCATCTGCTGGTGGGAGACCCCGGAGAGGCTGCTCACCCACGGGGATTGGCTGTCCTCCTATCCTGTATGCACCCCACAGGAGGCCTCCTGGCACAGCCCACTGTCACCAAGTGTCAACCTGGTGCATCTGAGCGGGTCAGCGTCCACTCCATTGTGCCCACCATGCCCCCCACCCTGAGAACAGGGAGTGGCATAGTTGGAGTGTTCTCCCTGAAGCTCAAGATACTGCAGAGCATGCTGATCAAGAAGGTGTAGGGTGGAGCCGCCTGAGCCAGATGGTCCTGGGTGTCTCTGTGCCTCAGTTTGCCATCTGTGAAATGGGAACAGTGAGCGTACCTACCTGGAGGTGGTTTAAGGCTCAGATGGCTTAGCTCATATAAAGAGCTGAATGAATGGGTGTGCAGTAACAATAAGTGTTGCCAGTGTGGTTCCCGCCAGCCGCTAATGATTCCTGGGGAAGTTGGAGGCTAACTGGGGGAGGGAGCCATCTCACATCTTGTGATTGCAGGAAATCTGGGGCTCATGGGCCTCCTGAAACTGCTGGTGTGGCTATTATTATGTCTCTAAAGCCCACTGATCCCCCGGACCCTGATCAATTGCGGCCCAGCCCAGGTAGTGAACATCGGCTCATGGGTTTGGAGGGTGGGTTTGGGGCTCTGCCCCGTCCTGATGCCCCCTCTGTTTTCTCAGTCTGGTGCCCAGGACACAACCTGGCCCAGGGTAAACCCTCGTGTGCACTTGTGAAGGGAGTGAACGTCACTCTGGGATAGTGGGTTTGCACCTGGGCTCCCACCATAAGTGCAGCGTTCTTGGTCTCCGGGGAGATTCTTGTCCTGTAGGGCTGGAGTGGGCCCGGGGGGGCCTTGGCTCACCTAGCAGCTCAGTGTGCATGATCCTAAGGCCAAGATGTGGGAGAGCCCTCCTAGGAAGGAGTCCATTCTGCAGGAGGTCAGGGTTCTGGCCTGACTGGCAACACCTGTCCACGCTGCCCACCTCCATGAATTCCGCACCTCGGGGGCAAAGCAAGTGTTTCCCGGTGCTCGGGGGCTGCTGTGGAGACCTGGGGACACCAGCAAGCCCCACAGGCTGTGCCGTTGGAAGGAGGGTGGGCAGCAGCGTGGGCGGGCTCTGGGCTGCGGGAGGAGGTGTCCTGTCCTCACTGCCCCTAAGCTGGCTCCACACACACCCCGGCCTGGATGGGGTGGGAGTCGGGAGCCAGAACCTTCCCAGAACAGGAAACCACACAGTGACGCTGAGGGCCTCTACCCCACGGCGCTGGTCGGTTCCAGGTTCATGCTGGGTGCCAGGCCACCAGCCTCCACCTCAGCTCTCTCCAGTCCCCAAAGACGCTCCCTTCCACCCCCGAGCTGGAGGGCTGAGGCTCGGGTGTCTGGCTGGGCTCTGGAGCTCATGGGGGCAGGTGAAAACTGCCTGCAGCAGCATCCCATGGAGTCCCCAGGGGCATGTCCCTTAGGCCAGGTTGCCAACAGCAAACAAGAGGATGAGAAGGGAGACCAGAACCACAGAGAGATGTGGGTGGAGGCTGGGCAGGAGGCAGAAACCCTGGAGGGCAGGGGCACCTGGCATAGCGTTTAGGACTCCCATGGCCAGCACAGATGTGCCTTGAGGGCTTTGGGGAGGATGACAAATGGGTTCCCTCTCACATGCCAACTTTGACTCAGTGGTAGCGGCTGCCCGAAGAGGCACTGGAAGCCAAAAGGGGTCAGGGTGGTGAATGAGCGCAGAGTTCCGTTGGTGGGGTCTGGTGTGGGCATGGGCGTGGAAGGGGCAGCCCCTGTGGCCATGACTTGCTGTCCTGGGTATGTTGGCCCTTGGACCTTGCTTACGGGCGGCTCTTGCTCATCCTCCGTCTCCTGGGTGTTTGCCACTGCTCCTCTGACAGCAAGCGGCTTGAACCCAGGGGCATTTAAACACTGAGCCAAATCCCCAGCCCTTTTTTCATATTTTATTTAGAGACGGGGTCTCGCTGCGTTGCTTAGGGCTTCATTAAGTTCCTGAGGCTGGCTTTGAACTCGAGATCCTCCTGCCTCAGCCTCCCAAGCCTCTGGGATTCCAGGCGTGCGCCACTGTGCCCGGCAAGGGAAGTTTCTTTTCTCCCCTAAGCATCCTGCCTGGCTCAGCTGCTCCTACCCACCACACCTGCCTGGCTGGGCTGCCGTGGCCTCCCTGAGAGCCAGCCTCACAAGAGCCGAGAGGCAGATGGGTGGGAGGAGCAGGTGGACAGCAGTCTGGGATTTGGCTTTGAGTCTGCTTCCCTTGGATAGTGGAGACACTGCTGCAAAGAACATTGTCTTGCCTGTCTGGGGACAGTTGCAGCCCTGTCCTTGGTGGCCTGGTCAGGACCCATTTATCTTGAAGCAGGCAGAGGGTTGATTCTGTCCCCCTGCCACCCCAGAGCATGCCCAGCAAGGCCTACTCCAGCCCCGGGTCTCAGGGCCTGGGCAGGGCAGGGCAGAGTCCTGAGGGCCACTGGCATGGTGACATAAGTCTCAGGGCCTGTCAGGAGCCTGAGTTGGTGGTGGCGTCTGTCTACATGTGGGAAAGGCCTGCCCACCCCACGCCGGGGGACACAGGTCTGAGCCCACAGGTGATGCGTGCGTGGCAGGCTGTCAGCCTGCCCTGCTCCCTGGGCCCCGTCCCCTCTGGGCCGCGCCTCTGCCCGCTGCCGTGGGGATTTATATCTGCACACAGCGTTTTCTCCAATACTAATGATCCCTCTGTTTTGCCAAGAACAAAGAGGCCTTCAGCAGTAACTTATGGCTCCATTGCCATCAATTTGTTCCCAGCCCCTTGTGGCCAAACCGGGACGGAGAAATGACAAGGTCCTTTCCCTTAGAGGACTTGGCACTGGCCCCGTCCACTCTCTCAGCCTGGACCTACCCTGCTGTCACCACGGGCATCATTGCACCTAGGGCTGCCCGAATCGGGGTCTGACCGGCTCCGGTCCCCCACTGCCGACCCAGACTTCAATCTGAGCAGGTGCCCTCTCTGGCCTCGCTCCTCCTGCCAGGGACAGCCCTGCTTGAGGAGGTAGCTGGTCCATCCAGGGGGAACACTGGACTTGGAGTCCAAGTGGTGAGTCTGAGCCTCTCTCTGCCACCTGCCAACAAGGTGTCTGAGCAAGACCTTGGCTTCTCCCAGCCCCGCAGCCCTCATCCGGGGAATGGGGTCAGGAATTCCCACATGGGGGCCGTGATGCCTTCAAACATTCAGGATTAGCAATTGTCAGGGAAAGATCAGGAGCCCGGGTCCTTGGGACTCAGGCATTTATTTCCTCCTCCACTCATCTGAGTACAGAGAAACGTTGAGAGTGCGGCTCTGGGGCTGCTGTCCAAGGTAGTGACCTCCAGCCCTGCTGGCCACTTCCGCTGCACCTGTGGCTAGTGGGTCCCTGAAATGTGGCTTCTCTGAATCAAGATGTATCAGAAGTATAACACTCAGAATTTTGAAGACTTAATATGTAGAAAAGATTATAAAATATCTCACTAATAATGTTTTATATAAGCCAGGCAATGTGACATGTGCTTGTAATCCCAGCCACTCAGGAGACTGAGACAGGAGGATCACAATTTGAGGCCAGTCTCAGCAACTTAGTGAGACTTTGTCTCAAAATAAAAAATACAGGGGGCTGGGATATAGCTTAGTGGTAGAACACCCTTGGTTCAATCCCCAGCACCACAACCAACCAATGAATCAATGAAAACAATGTTTCATGTGGGGTCTGAGGTGTAGTTCGGCCATCAAGCATGTGCTGAGCATGTGCAAGGCCCTGGGTTCCATCCCCATCACCACTAATAATAATGGTCATCTTTTATATTGATGACGTGTTGAATAATATTTTGGACAAACCAGGTTACATGCAATACATTATTATAATTAATTTTTCCTATTTCTTTTTTTAATTTTTTTATGGCAACTAGAGAGTCTTGGATGGCACCTGTGCTGCTCTTCTGTTTGTGGCCACCCTGCTGTAGGGTGAGGCTCTCTAGGCTTGGTTTCCCCTGGGGACCAGCTGTGACCTCCCAGGCATTCGCTTTTTTCTAGTCTGTCAAATGGAGGGGACGTCAGCTGCCTGCTGGGTGGGAGGGCTGAGAGGGTGACAGGCCAGGCCAGGGAGGCCATCGAGAGCCCTGGGTTTACTTAAGTGCTGCTCCAGGGTGCGGGGGTGGAGGAGGGGCTTCTCTGGGCCAGGGACTGTGCCAGTGTCCTGAGATGGTGGGGACCGAAGCACTGTCTCGGCACAGGAACCTGCAGCTTGGCTGGAGCGACAGACCTGTGAGCTCTGCTTCCAGTGCCCTGGGACCACGCTGGGCGGAAGCAGCTCAGGATGTCGTGTTGATGGGGACCGATGGCTCCCCAGGGATCCATTAGCCGGTTCCCTCCACTTTCCCTGGTTTATGTTCGAAAGTGCCCATAAATAGGAAGTGCCCAGGAACCCGAGGGCTGGTGCC